GGGGGGCAGGGGTTGGGGGAGGAGGGGGCTGCAGGGCGGGCACCAGCCAAGCTGAGAGAGGACTTTGCATGGCCCGTTCCTGCTGCTTTCCTCTCCCTCAGCCCCCCAGCGCCCCCAAGAGCAGTGCCCCAAACGTGCTTACGCCACGCGGGTGGCGGTAACGGGACTGTCAGCCCGGCCGCCTCCAGCCTCTGCCCCTTCTCTCCCCAGGCCGCCGTGCCCTGGATGCGCTACCTCAGCGTGGCCTGCGTCATCGGGATCATCGCTGGCTTCTGCATGGGCCCAGGTGGGTGCGGGGGCCCTGCCGTCTCTCCGGCTAGCGGGGGGCTGCGGGTCGGGAGAGAGGGGCTGGGGCTGAGCCCTAGGCTGGGCCAGCAGGGGGCTGCACACGCTAATCAGCGTCTCTGGCCGGCTCCGGAGGCGCGTGGTTTCCTGCCTTTAAATAAGCGTGGACGGGAAAGCTCCCTAAAAATGATGGATGCTCCCTGGAATGGTTTACCCGACTGATGTATGAGTGGAGCTGCCAACGGATCTATAATTCATTCTCAGCCCAGAATTTATTTGCTGTAATTACATCTTTAATTAGGATTTTAATGGCTCATTGTTCACAAACAATGATGAATCGGACTTAAAATATATCTGTATCTATATCTCTATTCCAGGCGCCGTAACGGTCCATGAGGGGCTGCTTCTCCCCATATGAATTTTTTTGCATTAAGTATCTTTACTAAAGAGGCGCACATGACTGCTTGCCTGCTCGGGGACGGTCTGGTCAAACCACGGTGCCTAATATCACAACTGCGCCTATTGCAACAAACCCAAAGTGCCCTAATTGCTCAGGCTTCATGGCAGCCCTCAGGATAGAACCTGGCTTCTCGTGCTCCAAAAGCACAGGCCCCGATGCTTGAGCAAAAGGAGACTCTCCTTCAGTTGTTAGCAGTATAGGGCTGATGAAACACAGTGGAACAGTTCTGAGTTCACGCACTAGAGGGCAGCAGTGTGTAAAGCCCCAGCTTTTTTCTATGGCAGCAATTCCCACACTGTCTGTCGGGACCTTAAATGGGGTTGCGACCTTGTTTTAATGGGGTCGTCAAGCCCCACCACCTAGCGCCAAACCCCAAGCCACTAAAAATGTTATTGGTTACACACTGGCTTCCTGGGAGCTAGCAGCGGTGAGGAGCAGCAGCCGGCCCCCCAGGAGCCGGCTAGGAGCTACCTGTACCAATTTAAACAGTTACACTCTTACATCCCTATTGGATACAGGGTCTCAATAGGATGCAGTCTGTCACCTTTTAAATAGCCAGTTCAAATCCAGCCACAGGTAAGACCAATATTTTCCCCATCTGATGGCTGATCTCAGTGCAGCTCCTGGTGGACAAACTGGGCCAGTGAAAAATTTCCCATCAAAACTGTTTTTCAACAGCCATTTGTAGATCAACTCAGAAAATGGCATTTCCGTCCCCCGGGAATTCGAACGACTGCGCAGTTGTGATATTAGCCACAATGGTTTGACCAGACCCTCCCCCAGCAGGGAAGCAGTTTTGTCCTGAATTGGGCTAAAAAGTTGGACGATGTCACAGAATGAACCATCCCAAAACGTTGTTGTTGAAAACCCGGAACCCCAGGGTTTCGTCTCAGTAATGTCGAAAGGTCAGGTAACATCTGATGCTGATGTAAGTCGAAACAAAATGAAAGAAAAGTTGGAAAGAAACAGTCGAAATGACGCGCTTCCCTGGACATGGAATCGTCTGCAAACTTTTTTGGCAGCAAACGGGTCCATCAAAACAAAATTTCAACCCGCTCGAAAACTTCCATTTTCACCGCAAAACAGCACGAAAAGCATCAGCTTTCTGCAGAAAACGTTGATGTTCCACCCACAAATGGAATGTCTGAAACCGAAACGATCTCAGCTGTGAAATCCTGCCATGATTCTCATGGGCATTGCAGTTCAGTTACCTCATGTCCACTTTCTCCAAAATGAGCTGGACTCCTTGGCTAGACTACATCTCCCATGGTGCATTCTGGCCAGGGAATCCCAAGGTGCACCACCTGCCTTCCAAAAGAGTGCATTATGGGAGATGGAGTCTGAGGGAACCTGGCGTAAAGAGGAGAAGGAGCACATAAGAGACCAGAACTACAACTCCCATAAGTCTCGGTGCTGGAATTCCCAACTTGAGTTATTTCAGTATTTGAACTTCTGCCCCAAATCACAATGTTAAGTGGACAGTTTCAATACAAAGGATTTTTCACTGTCATCCAGACACCCGCAGCCCAATCAGCCTCCTCGTTAGCAGCCTTAGCACAAAGCCCGAGCCCCTCCCCCCACGCTCTCCCCCACACACACCGGGGCCCAAGCTGTACCAGTGCTCTCTCCCCGAAGGCTGCTCCCCTATCAGCCACGGAAAGAGCTGGCCGAGCAACTAGAGACTTGATCCACCCGCTCCCCAGGGTGCTCGGGCACCCAATAGGGCAGGCGCTGGAAGGGGAGGGAGCAAGAGAGACAGAGAGAGTCCCAGTTCTGAGCTCATTCATCTGCCTTTCACTCCGGAGTCACTCCTGATTTGTGCCCCAGACTCAGGAGGAGTTTAATCCCTTTCTCCCCTGCCCAGCTGGTGTGCCCTTCCTGATGACGGCAGAGCTCTTCAAGCAGTCACATCGCCCCGCTGCCTATATCGTGGGGGGGTCTCTGAACTGGCTCTCCAACTTCACCGTGGGCTTCGTCTTCCCCTTCCTGCAGGTAACAGCCAGCCCTGGGGGGTGGCCTGGGGTTGCAGGTCAGGGATTAGGGCCTCGGGGTGCAAGTTGCTGTCCACACACACAGGAAGATGGTCCTTGCCCCAGAGAGAAAATTGTAAAGAAGTCCAAAGAAACACTAGCAGCATGTTGTTAATCTTTGGAACTCACTGCAGCAGGAAACTGTGTCAAAAGCCTTACTAAAGGCCAGATGCATCACTTCTGCTACACTCCCCCAATTCCCTATCTGCTTGATCTGTTACCCTTCTCAGGAGGAAACTAGGTTGATTTGTTCTTGGCTGTAAAGTCTGTGACATTCCCCAGAGTACAACTGGGACCAGTGACCGTCTGTGGCCCCTCAGGACTCCAATCCGGGGTGACCTTTACACTGCCTCCAGCATGTAAGTCACTCCCAGGTGTACTGCCCGAGTACTACAACCAGGCACTCCTGAATTACACTGCAGAACTACACTGGCAAATTCCCGGTCCCAAACTCGCCCCAGAAATGTGTGTCTTGTCCTGCCCGGAGCCCAGCCCTCTTCTGGACAATACAAGCTCATGAAAAGTCTGTAATGGTGTGAATAGAAAATGACACGCACCAATCTTGCTGTCTCAAATGGAGTTTCCCAAACACCTCATTCCCAACACACTGGTTTAGATCAAACACTAATCCAAGTTGATTTGCAACTAATCCAAGATCGATTCTAAGTGATCACAAGAAATGAGACACAACGGTCAGACTTGGCTACAAGAAAATAAAAGTAAAATGCAACTAATGCCAAATGTAAAAAACTCCATGAATTCAAAGCACAGGTCTCCCTCTCTCGCCATGTCTCATCCACCCGACCAACTGAATTTCTTTCACTCAAGATCTCTCCCCCAATCCAATGTCATTTCCTGGTTCTTCAGCTGCTGTTGATGCAGTGGGTAGAGAGAAAGGCAAGGGTGACTTGGAACATCTCTCCTCCTTTCTTATAGTTCCTTCCCTTCTTTGGGAGTCCGCTCCAGCCAAGGTTCAAGAGAATGACCGTCTGTGTGGACAAGAGCCTCAAACGGTTCCTTTCTCGAGATGGAGGTTTTTTGCCCACACCCTTTTTCCTGCCAAAGAATGGCCATTTAATTAGGCGATGGTCCATTTCATCTTGGCTGAGGCATTGACCAGTGTTTTGTTCCTGGGGAACTGGTATGTGGTTGCTCTCCAGACTTAGAGCATGTCTTAGCAACTCCATCCAGTATACTCTTATAACTATACCTAGAATGTTGCCACATACATTTTACCAGGACAATAATGATCAGCAGATTATGAGTTTTCAAACAATCCCTCACAAGGCATACTTTGTGCAAGATTTGTCGCCGTCTGTATTGAAAGGGTGAACACAGGTGTTCAGACTGTCCCAACGTCCACGCTGGCAGTTCCTTATAATCTGGGGTCTTAAAAATCAAAATTGTTTAATTTCAGGATCTTTCTAGGTCTCAAAATGAGGCTGACTGGTGTGTTACTGCCCAGTTCTTAGTTTTGGGGATGGGTCCTAGGTTTGCCCTTCTCCAGGCCTCTGGGCCCTCACGGCCTCCCTCAATGCTCTGAAAAGTAGCAGCTAATGGTTCAGAGATTGTTTTAGCGAGCTCCTTAAGTACCCTCAGGTGAATGTCCCAGGCCCTGCTGACATGAGTAACTCTTGAGAACTATCCTGTTCCTTCCTGGTTCCGGCCAAAGTCCTTCCCGGCTTGTTAATATTGTGTTAAGCAACTGGTCTCCATTAACCTTCTGAGTGTAGGCAGATATCCAGGAGAGTGGTTTCCTGCTATGGGGTCTCTCCTAGGGGCAGGATTAAACCACTGACCAAAAGGGAGAGGCTCCACTTTCCTCTCTCGTGGGACTGCGCTATCAAGCCCCTCTCCCTTTGGGGAAAAAAGAGCCTCCCCCAGGGGAATGGATTGCTCCTGGCAGCCAGCCCTGGCCAGTGGGTCAGACCCAGCGCCCCCTTGTGCATATGGTGGGGCAGAGAGGCTAAGTGACTAGCCCATGGTCATGCAGAGAGACTGTGGCAGAGGAAGGCCTTGAACCCAAGTGTCCTGACTCCCAGCCTAGTGTCTTGGCCACAAGTGGAATTGGGCAGCCCTGGCCCTAGCTGATGGGGTGACCCCTCAGACTCAGTGGGGTGGGAGGCAGGGAGCATGGTGCAGGGAGCGACACTAGATGGGCCCCAGGGACAGGAGATAAGAGCCACGCTAGGTGGCCCCGTGATGGGCTGGGGCTCCCTGCTGACGCCCGGGGCCGTGTTCTCTGCTTTCCCCAGATGTCGGCCGGCGCTTTCTGCTACCTGGTGTTCTGCGGGGTCTGCCTGCTGGTGGCTCTCTACATCTACGTGGTGATCCCCGAGACCAAGAACAAGACCTTCATGGAGATCAGCCAGATCTTCGCCGCCCGCCGCGCCTTCCTGGCCACCCCGGCCAGCGCCGTCAAGATGGTCGCGCTCGGCGGCTACGGGGCCCTGGAGAGCAGCTCCCTGGAGCTGTCTGAGTCCGGCCAGGCGTGACCCTCAGCCCCCCAGCCCTGCAAGGCTGCGAACAATCTGTGGGGTGGGTGGCAGGGCCCGTGCCGGGGTCATGGATCCAAAGATGTTGCCCTCGCCCTGGGCTTTGCAGGCTCAAGCTCTCCCCAACCCACCGCTGGTCTCCTCCCGCAGGTGTCCTAGAACAAGGGCTCCAGGTTGCTGCTCTGCGGCCCCGCACGGCACCTTCCCTGCAGAGCCGAGTCGGTGCCAGCCTGGGGCTTAGGGCCAGGCGGCTCATCTGCTGCCTGCTGTGCCCGTGCTCGGCGGCCCCGCACGGCACCTTCCCTGCAGAGCCGAGTCGGTGCCAGCCTGGGGCTTAGGGCCAGGCGGCTCATCTGCTGCCTGCTGTGCCCGTGCTCGGGGGGGGAGGACACACTCCCTTCCCCCCACCCTCCCCAGAGGTTAGGGACATGGTCTCCACTCCCGGAGTTAGATCCCCCCCCACCACAGCTCTGAGCCTTCCGGCCTTGCAGGAGGCATTGCGGCTAGA